TTTTTGGACTCCACTTAATCATTCGTGAAGCTAATGTGGTTTTAAATTTTAACTGTCACAATCGAAATCGAACGAAGAGCATAGAAATTCTAATATAATAAAAAAAATGGTTTTAAAAGACAATTTCTTAAACTTAATTTTAACTTAAACTCGTACCTATTATTGCAACAGAAATTTGAATGGGATAGAATTTACATTTTTCACTTCTGTTTCTACTACAGCCTTTTTCATTGTGTTACGGTGGACAACCAGGGACAAATGGCATCTCCGGCATGCATGGCATGCCGGGCTCCCCTGGGGCACCTGGCTGTGATGGACGTGACGGAGTTAAAGGCGACCAGGGCAGCCCGGAAAGGACTGGGCCCCAGGGACCAGCTGGTGCAGAAGGAAAGAAAGGAGATAAGGGAGAGTCTGGAGCCCAGGGCCCCGCTGGGCAAAAGGGACAGCGAGGGGAGAAAGGTGAGAGTGGAATTCCAGGATCGCCTCAGCTTTCCTCGTACNCCGCCGGCCAAAAAGGACAGCGAGGAGAGAAAGGTGAGAGTGGAACCCCAGGATCGCCTCAGTTTTCCTCGCACATGAACTGGAAAGAATACACCTGGAAAAAGAGCGACAGCAAAGACTCAGGTGTGATTCAGGCAAGTGATTTATAGTACCAGCGTATGGTGTATTGGTTACTATATGACATAATCCTATTGTCAAAAAGGTCTGTTTATTGATGAACTTCAAGTTTTTTCTCGGCTTTTTCCTCTCATGGAAGGGGAGGTTCTTAACTGGAGGAGGAAGCAATTTATTAACAATGTCGGGTATTTTTCTAACTGGAAAGATTTTCAGCCGAACAATCTCTCCTCAAGTTGGAAAATGAAAATGAGCTATGCAGGAGATATAGTGTAGGTTGATTAACTGGAGAGAATAAGACAAGCCCAATATATACTGAATAATCAATTTAAATTAATTTAGTCTTATTCTCGCTTAGCATCCTCTCATCTATTCAAGAACACTAATTATCAATAATTTCTGCGATTTTCAACGCCCTTGTTACAAATTTACGTTATTCATTATTTGCTGTTATGTTGCAAAACCCTCAATTGTTCCTCCTCCCTTTGTTTGTAAACAAACAAATTATAAACATTGATTAAAGTGGTTTTCTTGAATCGGATTACATAAACTAATAATAGTAATTATCTCTGTAGAACTGTGAATTCATGAAGAATTTCACAGACACTGCCCTCCATGTTTACTTTGCTGGTAACCTCAGGATTTATGGATGTGACGTCTGCTGTAGTCGCTGGTATTTCACCTTCAATGGCACCGAGTGTAGCTCTCCTGGCTCCATTGACGGTGCCTTCTATATGGCAAACGGCAAGAACCACGATCTTCTTCGTCACCGCCATATTGAAGGTCATTGTAATAACATCCACAAGGGAAAGGTGCTAGTAGGATTCTGGGTTGGAAGTTGCAACACTGGGCACAAGAATGCTGATGCTTACACAGGCTGGGCGACAATGTCCCGGATCTTCATTGAAGAGGTTCCGAAAGCTCAGCAGTAACCACGCTGCACGTGATCAACTAGACTTTCTAGAAAAACCTTGATATAGGAAGGATAGAAAATTGCAATGCTGTAGGCGTTCAAGCGTTCGTAACAATAGATTCGAAACTGTCGTATCAGCTGAGAATTAGAGTCCAAGAACATTATTAAAGCTGTTTTTTTTTTTTTTTCAGTCTTAAGTCTCCTCATAATTAATTTACGAATTTCTAACACGGATTAATAAATTAAGAGTATGCTTTAAGTGCCAAGAAGCAACTGGAAATAAACAGCAGTAGAAACGGTAAAAATTAACTTATAATTTCTCTTTCTGGTAACCCAGAATTGAATCCTTTCGTTCAGTTATGGAATTAAACTCAAAATGTGAACACGTGCGTTTCTGTCAACCAAAAGCTGGTGTGATGTCATATCATTAACACTTAAGAAGGAATCCCCCAGAAGTATGATTAACAAGTGGAACACAATTTGGTACCAAGATTATTTGCATCATATTGCAAATTTCTGTGCGACTGCAGTTTTAAATATGTTCTCCAAAAAAACTCATTCCTAACAACACCAAATGTTGAAAACAAATTTTGAAGCTCATATGAAACACTTGGGAGCACATGTACTAGTGAACTCAGACTGATGATGAAATTTTACCTGTGTTTGCACAATTTCTTTGAACTTTGAACTTTATTGTCCCGAGTTCCTATGGGAAATTATTTTAGGTGTTATTTCAGCCAATTATTTATAGCTTTAGCTTTTAGAAAATGCAAAAAGGATTTTAATGTACTTGACATCCTTCTGGCATAACAGTTTTGTCCACTAAAAACTGGAAATGCTTGATTTTCTATCGGGTTTGGTTTTCGACAAAACACTGACCCCCTACTGACCCCCTATAAAATCAACGGGAAAGTGAAAATTGAAAAAAGCCCAGAACTATCAGTGGGACCGATTCAAGTTCGTCAATAAATTTAGCTTACCTGAAACTTCCAAGATGGCGGACGCATTGCAGATTTCCGACTCCCTTCTCATTTGACTGAAGGATTTGTCACCGAAAATCGAGCTCAGAATAACTTGGAATATCATCAAGTATGGTATTTGTAGCCATGAGAAAATTAAGCAATGAAAATAGCGAGGAAATTCTGGCCAATTAACACGCACGCGACCAACCTTGAGCGACACGCACACGATTATCATCAACTGGAAGTTTATTTTGGCAATCTTGTAGCCCCAGGTCCCTCACCTTCCGCATGCACAAACTACGTTGTACATGGCTTTAGTCATGGACAGTAAGTGGCATTACTGTTTTTCATCGATTTGCCTCTCATTGTGCACTTTGTATATCCGAATTATGTCATGAATGCATTATGAATTTTATTTTTGTTACTTTTCCTTGCCGACGATCTGGATGTGGTAGAGCTTGTAGAAAGGTATGTTGGTTTTTGATAGGATTATCCAAGAATTTTACCTTGAGAATCCGTGGTCCTTTTGACGACTTCATGCACCAAGGAGAAAGTAATCCATCGGGCTTGTCCAAATGGTTTATACTACAGTTACCACAGTTCTTAAAATGCAAAAACAAGGCGAGAGGTCTGGAACTACCTTATGAAATATTAATTTGTCTTCCGGTTGAGGTTTACGCGCGTGTTCGTGCCGCTCGCACGAGCAGTCCAGCACAAGCCTTTCGCGAGCCTGCTCATTTGTCAGCTTTTTTCTTTGCTTCATTTTCCAATGCGGACGAAAACAATATTTGATTATATTCAAGCTTATTCTGTGCTCGATCTTCCGTCAACAAAACCTCCACTGAACAGTCAGTGGAGAACAAGAGAGTCGGAAATCTGCAACGCGTCCGCCATCTTGGAAGTTTCAGGTAAGCTAAATTTATTGATGAACTTCAATCGGTCTCATTGATAGTTCTGGGCTTTTTAAATTTTCATTTTCCCATTGGTTTTATAGGGGGTCAGTAGGGGGTCAGTAGGGGGTCAGTAGGGGGTCAGTGTTTTGTCGAAACCTGAATCATCTTGCTTATTCCACAAGGTCAAACTCTCGCGCGACTTTAAATGACAATTCACAGCCCATGATATGCCATGGTCAGAAGCAATTTCTTCCTGTGTCACTGTTGTTGAGTTGACAACGTGTTTATTTTCAATCCATGACAAAGGTGTTCCAGACTTTAACTCAAATTAAAACATAAGTAACCACGACCTTTTTTTTCTCTACGACCGACTTTTTTTCAAGATTTAATGATATACATCAAAATGGGTCTCAGATAACGTCCGTTTTAAATACTTGAAATGTAAAGAGTATTTCGTGACCGTCGAGTTATCATTTTCCTTATACGATAAAAACATGATCAAACGTGTTGAAACTGGATGGGGCTGTTTATTTCATGGACATAGTAGTCAAGATTTTGAAAGTGTATCATTATTTTAATTAACAGTTACAAACAATTCCTCCGGGCAAGTAGTTGTCTCATTTCTCTAAAATTTTGTACAGTCCTTTCAGAAATCATAAAACAAATATATAGCTTTCGAATCACGAGTACAGTTCAATGTGTCAAAAAGAAAACGTAATACCTTTCAGAAAGGTATTCCGCTTCTGATATAGACCCTTTTCATAAATGGCTGCCAATTTAAAATTCTTTTGTAAGCATTTAAATTAGCCTCACTAAACTCGTTTGGGAATAAAAATTCTTTTGAATAAGCAATTAAAAAACGAGGTTAGTCAGGCTAATTTTAATACTTACAGAAGAACTTATAATTGGCAGCCATTTATAAAAAGGGTCTATATACTTCACTTTACGAATTTCATTTGTAAATACAGTCTAAGGGATTAGTATTCTCAGCGAATACTCGCCGAAATTTACACCCGGCTGAATATCTTCGCTTATCCTTACAGGCATTCTTACATGACGGTGACGTAAGAAGCAATATATGCGGTCAGTCAATAGGGATTGTAGAATTTTTAATGGCGCTGTGTTTCTCTCTGTAATAAACTATTTTTGTTGCCTACTTGCTCCGATCAAGAATCAAACTCTTCACGGCTCAATTCTGACGTCACTCTGACGGAAGTTTGCTCAGGTATATGGATTGTTTTGTTATTAACATTTCAGTATTCACAATACCAAAGCACAAAACAAATAGTTGAAACTGCATAATAATAAAGAGTAAGATCGACATCAGTTAAAGCAAACAAATTTCATTGTTGATTATTGTAACCTAGTCTCGATATTCCAATAACTTGACGTTTTGAGGCTAGGAAACCACACAAAGCCAAAAATCTTATCCTTCATTGGATCAAACGAAGAAATATTGCGGCATTCAATTTTGGCAGTAGTGTCGGGACGGAACTAAAGCTATTCAAAGCAATGGATTCATGTTCAATGGCGAACTGGTAGGGACAAGATTCTAGTTCGAGGTTTCAATATGAAGAAAATGTTTTCAACTGTGCGGTCGATGTATCCATATCAAAGAACAAAAGACTTCAGGAAGTGTTTACAGGTAAGATCGGTGTCGCTCGTTTATTTTTCGTTTAAGTGCTTTTCCGTTTCTTCTCCGAGTCAGTAAATACTAGCTTCGTGAGTTGGTGTTCAAACAATTCATAATTCAATTCGTCATAAACACCGAACCACGATTTCACACACTAATAAAACAAACTGAACCTTTGTATGCATTTCCTCATGCGTTAAACTTCGTTTTTTTTCTACATGTCAGCCGCGTTTAGCCTCGTTTTTTGTTTCGGTTTTCGTTTGTAAATTGACTACTTTTAGCGAGACCTTTCTTCCCATTCAAAGCAAGTTAACCTATAGTTATCAGACAGTATTACAATATAGATAGGACCTCTCGCGCGCTCTGATTGATCAAAAATCCATGTTTTATCAGAGCATAAAACATAGAGAAAGCGTGTTTTATTGTCTTTCGCCACATTATCTCTAGTCAACATTTTTGTTAGAGAAGGCGGAAAACATTTTGTTGGAAGAAATTTGTGATGCAGTTCTCTGCGAAGCAGCAAAACGTTTTTAAGAAGAGGTATGTAGCACTTCAGTGGT